TTTGGCTTTAACACATTCCATACTTGTTGAGATTTGTAGGTTAGACTCTAGCTGCAACAACTAGACTTTTAGCACACCTCGTACTTCTTACCATATTTCCTAAAAATAGCATATTTTCATTCACTTGTTCTTGTGCTTTTTTCTGGTCTTGTTTTTCTTTCTCGGCGGTAATTACTTTGAAATGAAGAATTTGAATCATTCGAGCAAATCTATGCTAAACTGCTTGTTATAATAGAGTTTTTATAATTATCATTTATCTTTAGAAGTCTCAGCTGAATTTACTTTGAAACTGCGTGACATCATCGTACGTGAAAGCGACACCGCAACTCTATTGGTGGAAGTGACGAAGGAGACTTTAGAAGTTCGATGGTTTAAGGATGGGGAAGAAGTAACGCCGTCGGAGCGTATCGTGATCGAAACCGAGGACAAAACAAGGAAGCTGATCATTAGAGAAACATCAGTGGAAGATAGGGGCGTGTATACCTGCACACTACTGGACCAAGAGTGTTCGTCCACTGTGACCGTAGAAGGTTGGTATTAAACGAGAGATGACCATGTAATGTCAGAGTAAAATTGTGGTCGGTATAAGTAAAGTCAGAGTTCGAATATTTTTACCAAACCTGTCGAAAACCGTCTAAATCACAACAACGTCTTTCACTGAAACACACACAAAAACAACAGCTTTTGTTAGTAACTTTGTTTTTCGTTTGTAGGTTTACTACAGAGGAAACAAGGGTAAAGCTACACAGCTGGTCATATTAGTTGTATCAAAAAAAGAAAAAAAGAAGGGTTACTTAATTTGTTTCAGTTACTTAATCTTTTAAACTAATAAGATAAATTATATTATTTACACCAGTATGATAACATATGGTGAAATGAAACTATAAATATATCATAACATTGTTTTATTATTTTTCCATTTAGAATTTATAATATTGTATTATATCTCTATTCTTACAGCGCCACCTCGTGTAACGACGGACCAGCGAAAGTTTAGTGTCAAAAGAGGAGGTTCTCTTACTTTAGAGATTCCGTATAGCGGGCTGCCACTTCCCAAAATAGAGTGGCATTTCAATGGAAAGCCGCTTAAACCAACAAAGAAAGTTACAGTGGATACCATGAAGACCAAAACGACAGTCTCCATAAAGAAAATGGATGATCCAGAGGTCGGGACGTACACCATGAAGATGAAAAATAAAGTTGGAGAATGTACGACAGACTTCATCGTTTCTATTATAGGTAACTATTGGTCACTGAGTTCCTGATCCACAAAAAAGACATTGTACCATTATAGGAGTTTGTTATAATTTCGCGCGAAGCTACACGAGGGCTATCTGCGCTAGCCGTCCCTAATTTAGCAGTGTAAGGCTAGAGGGAAGGCAGCTAGTCATCACCACCCACAGCCAACTCTTGGGCTACTCTTTTACCAACGAATAGTGGGATTGACCGTAACTTTATAACGCCCCCACGGCTGAAAGGGCGAACATGTTTGGTGGGACTGGGATCCGAACCCGCGACCCTTATATTACGAGTCGAGCGCCCTAACCACCTGGCCATGCCGGCCCACTATTATAGAAAACCTAAATCATGTTCTTTTGTTTTTCAAGAATTATAATCAATCTGTTAGAGTAATCAACTACTTTTTTATGCATTACAAATGAAACAGAAATGTATCTTTGATACTGAGTTCTAATGTTTGTTTTAATCCTTGGATAAAAGATAATGTAACGTCTATACATCCTTGTTAAGCATCCCCATGTGTACAGAACTGGTAAACATAAGTTTTGTTCTGCCAGGCAAAAAAAAAAAAAGAAGAGAGAGAGAGAAAAAATTAAGTTTATTTTATCACTGCATTATCACTCATTAACGGTGAATATTTTAAAAAAATCAACATGAATTTAACTATATACGTAGCTATGTTAGTGCTGTCGTTTGTTTGTTTTTATTGAAAATTTACAACTATAAAAATATTTTCGTTAAGTCAATGAATAATCTCAAAGCGCTTAACACCAATGCGATGAAAAAAAAAAGGTATGTTAGAATTCGAGCTGTTTAATAGCCTAATGATTCAAAATTGTTTTGATTTATTTAACACTAGGTTGATACAGGGTGGTAGATCCAACCTTCGAGGTGATTGTTATCGTTTAACTCTAGGTTGATACAGGGCGGTAGATCCAACATTCCAGGTGATTGTTATCGTTTAACTTTAGGTTGATACAGGGCGGTAGCCCCAACCTTCTAAGTGATTGTTATTGTTTATGGACGGCTATTCCTGTACCGTATAGGGGTCTATAAACAGGCAGCTTTTCCCATAAGATGCCAATCAGGTAGAAAATACCAGTAGCGATTAAGGCTATGGTCCAGGGATATCAACTGTGGGAAAGAAAGGGGAGACACAGGATGGGGTTTTGCACCCCAAACAAATATCAGAGGGACCTAACAATAAAATATTAGTTTTACTCTTGCTGTATATGTTGTAAAGTTATAATCCACTACCAAGAGACATATTATTATATTTTCACTTTAGAAACATTTAAGAGCTTTCAAGGGTACTGAACTTTTGTACGAATTTGCCCTTTTTCTCAATTGACATCTCAAATGATGCTGCTGCTAGGCTGAATAAATCTATAAGGAGATACTTGATCCTCATTCTATAAAAGCATTAAGTGTGCTAAAGTACTACATAAATTATCAAAACGAATGCAATAAGTGGTAAAATGTGGTACTCAGAAAAAGAATTTTTTAGTAGAATGATAGCTGTATATACATTTAAACATTCCAGATAAGCCTAAGCCACCTGGTACACCTGAAGCTTCAGAGATTACCAACGAATCACTAATACTCAGTTGGAAGGCGCCTGAGAGCGATGGTGGCGCCCCCATCACTAACTATATTATTGAGTATCACGACAGAGACACCTTACGATGGTCAACATACAACGAGGATTTGACAATACCAGAAAGGCATCATAAAGGTTTGGTTAAATTAAACTTATTTATTTGTACAGCCTTGATTTTTGTTTTAATATTCCATCTGTTGAAATGTTTCTGTCATAACACTACCAAGTTAAAAACACTAGCTCCTTTGCTTTTTAGTAGAGGTACCAACCTTATGGATAGTATTAATGGCTCTTCAAACGACATGAGTGTTGTTGATAGTTGTTTGTTTGAATTATATATTGCTTTAAAGAAATGGTTACAAGTATAAACAGTTAATATTGAATAATACATGAAACATACTTGAGACAATAAGTATCTTTGAAAACGGATCAAAATATCTGGATTCTTTATGTATAATATGGTGTAGAGACAATCTCAAAGTGTCATTTGAAACATTATGAGTATTGGAGGTACAATTTATCAGCGTAAACCTATTGTTTTTGCTTGTTTTTATGAACAAGATTCTATTTTATACGCTTCTCTTGTATTTTAGTGACTAACTTGAAGGAAGGTATGGACTATATGTTCCGCGTGATCGCCGTGAATGACGCAGGAAAAAGTGATCCATCTCCAGGGACCAAATACATCACTGTTAATGAAGCGAAAGGTAATTCAACTATACAGAAATGTGGGGTTCTAAATCGATGATTCTTATCTTTCCTTGATTATATTCTATAGAATAGGGAACATATATGAACAGATGGAAACTGAAACAGAACGGGATTAGAAACCAAAAATTGGTATACCAATGCTTTAACCAAATAAACCAGGCTTCCCAGCCTTTTGCACCTCAAAGCCTACTTAGTTATTTGGCCCAATATTAAAGACCCCCATATGCAGTTGATGACTCGTTGGCTTAGGGCAATCACAGTTATATCAGCCCGCCGCGGCCCATAATTGCGGATCTCACGGCCCATCTGTTGAGAATAATTGTAACTCAGTGATTCTCAAGCTTTTTTGTCTGCGGACCACTTCGGCGGAGCAAAAGACTCGGTGGACCACCTGGAGGATCCTCTCGAACCATACTTTGAGAACCACTGCTGTAACTAAACAATATACCACGTCACATATCGGATTCCAAAATTTTAAATTCGGATTGGACGTGGTCTGGTGGTTAGGGTACTCGGACTGTGAATCCTGGGAAGTATGGTTTATGGCCCGTTGCCATAGATACACGCTCCTCATCTTGGATTCATGGATACGCTACAAAAGTAACGATCATATCCCACTATTCGATGAGATAAGAGTAGTTCTAGTACTGGCTGTTGGCTAGATGCCTTCCTTCCCTTAGTCTGTTAGTTCCAAATTTGAAACGGCTAAGCGCACATAGCCATTTGTGTACTTTTGCGTGAAATTTTTGAAAAAACAACAACTTTCAGTTTATTAGTTATTAGCGAATTTGCAAGTCCTTTGAACTATTTCAATCGAATCTCGTCCGGTCTTCTTTTACTTCTTCAGAACATTTTTTAACCTTACGTTGTGATGTACCACCATTAAACATTTCTAAGATTAGTAGTTACTTTATTTCAAAAATATTTACAAACTTTTCTATCTGATTAACATACAAAATGTTATTTATAATATCGTAGTGAAAATGCAGTAACCAGCGTAAGGTGTCGTACTTTTACATAGGACTGATGAATTTTAACTTTAGAATTTATTAACATGATGTATCTTATTTAAAATTACATGATAATATTATTGATGTTTTCAAGATGTTTGATGATCATATCAAAAGAATGTAATATAACGTGCTACGCTTTTATTGAGCAGCCGGAGAACCTCCTGTGGTAGTTGAGCATCTTCAAGATCTTGCTGTGGGACTCAAAGCAAAGGCCGTTTTACAAGCAAGGATCACAGGACAACCTCCGCCTACAGTCAAATGGCACGTTGTTTTCTTATCGTTAGTTGTAGAACAATATAAATTTGTAGCAATAAATGTATTATTGCAGCCACCTATATTTAAGCGATACATTTACAGTCTTAAAATGTGAAATTATCAGCAGCTTTTTTTTTGCTAGAAAATGGCTGGTGGGTTTGATTCCCTGTTTAAACGCTCGGAATTTTAATATTGTTTTAACTAACCGTAATTCTCTTAATTATATGGGTCTAATGTTTACCATGTATATGTTTTGGCGTGGTTATAGTTAAACAGAAGTTCTCAATATAAACTATTTGTCTTTAACTCTTTTACTGCCACATTTATATATAAAACTCTCTCAGTGCCAGGTTTGTTTTTAGATACACAATTAAAAACAAAAAAACACAAGTTTGATATTTTATTACATATCTGAAACAGGTAAACTTTGGTAAATTTGAAAGGGAATATCCTTTTTTCATGGTAGTACAAAATTCCAAATTCACATGTGGTTCATTTACAAATGCTATGTAGAGTATGCTCTAGAGAGGAACACATATGTGTCCATGGCAGTGTTCTAGAAAGGGGCGTGTATGTTCCCATGGCAGTGCTCTAGAGAGGGACGTGTATGTGCCCATGGCAGTGCTCTAGAGGGGAACATATTTGTACCCATGGTAGTGCTCTAGAGGGGAACATATGTGTACCCATGGTAGTGCGCTAGAGGGGAACATATTTGTGTCCATGGCAGTGCTCTAGAGTGGGACGTGTATGTGCCCATGGCAGTGCTCTAGAGGGGAACATATTTGTACCCATGGTAGTGCTCTAGAGGGGAACATATGTGTACCCATGGTAGTGTTCTGGAGGGGAACATATTTGTACCCATGGTAGTGCTCTAGAGGGGAACATAAGTGTACCCATGGTAGTGCTCTAGAGGGGAACATATGTGTACCCATGGTAGTGCTCTAGAGGGGAACATATGTGTACCCATGGTAGTGCTCTAGTGGGGAACATATTTGTCCCCATGGTAGTGCTCTAGAGGGGAACATATGTGTACCCATGGTAGTGTTCTAGAGGGGAACATATATGTGTGCCCATGGTAGTGCTCTAGTGGGGAACATATATGTGCTCATGGCAGTGAAATAGTTGAACAATTTATGTATTAGGATGCGTAATTTTATAACTCCAAATTCTGCTTTAAAATGTAAAGAGATGTTTTACTAGTGAATATGTAACAGCTGTGTGAATAATATAGAACTCATAGAAACGTATTCCATAATTTTAAAAATAATCTAATTTAACTTCAGCGTACAGCGATTAATTCCTGTCTCTCAGTTAGTCATTCTGGAAATCGAAGTATAAGAAATACTCTAGCCTTATATGCAGTAAACTTTCACGGTTGTTACGTAAATACGATAGAATGATCCTTTTACTTGTATTTCGATTAGGCTTAAAAATGGAAAGGATCTCCTGGTGCTAAGGAACATCACTACAACTTATGAAAACCAAGTAGCATCATTAACCATTGGTGAAACAACTCAGAAATCCGCCGCAAAATACACGTGCAAGGCAACCAATTCCATGGGAACGACGGAGACATCGTGCACATTAAAGATTCAAGGTATTTATTTCATATCGTTGACTTTGCCATTAAATATATATTTGCTCTCTGGCGTAATTTGAATTTGTTGCGAAGGTCTAAATGTTAGTTATTTAGGTGAACCCGTGAGCCGTTATGATACGTCAGTCGGTGGGACAGCGGTAAATTTACAGACTTACAACGTTAAAATTTGGGGTTCGATTCCCCGCGGTGAGCAGAGTAGCTAGCCTAATGTAGTTTTGCTTTTAGAAAACAAACAAGCAGATAATTAATATATAACAATATATGGACCTATATGAACAAAATATTGCAGTTACCAAATAGTATAGAAAAAATATTTTACTAATGAGAAAATAAATAATAACATGGTTACATATGAAAGATATAAATCTGTAAATATATTAAATTTTGTTTAAATTATATCAATGTGCCATTATAATAAAGCATTTCTTATCACTCTATACAGTTAAGATAGATCATGATAAAAATACGATACGAAAAAGTTGGGTCATTATAAGTTATCTGAAGTACAAAATAATCATAGAAAATGTAAATCAAGTTATCATTGTTTGTTTTGAAGTTAAGCACAAAAAAACAACACAATGCTCTACGCACCACGGGTTTCTAGCGTTGTAAGTCCGCAGGCATACTGCCATTTAATGGAAATTTAAACATATGCTAATGTTGAAAAAAGCGATGAAATATTGTTTAATAGTTAATGTTATGAATTCAGATATATGTAGTTAGAAACATTCTGATTTACGTATTGCATTATATTATATTTATAATATTATTGTATTCTATGATTGTTGTGCCATTAGATCTAATTGATTTTAAATTGTACATTTCCTGTGATAAGCTTTTAAGCTTCGCTGGATTCTTATCATTTATGTATCATTTCTTTCGTTAAAAAAATACAAAATGCATGTTTTATGTGCAGGAGAAATACCACGCTGACGTTCCAAACTAGAACAGAAACATACTTGGCAAGCTAGAAGAGAAAAATAATTCTTTAACGATTCTTAATTGTTTAATAAATGGATTCTTTATAAATCTATGGTTTGGTTAATTTTGTTACTTTCATTATTCGAAATAGTTTAAACTTGTGTATGCAGGTTGATGTGCTTCTTTGGAAAAGACTTACAAGCGAAATGTCAGAATTTAAAAATTACTCTGAAGTTGAGTCGTATATTATTTTAATTTTTCGCGAATGTTTCCTGTCTTCCAGTATGCAGTATTACACTAAACAATACTGAAAAGTGATGTTACGTTTGTAAACAGATCACAAGTTAAAAGATAATATTTACACTTTTAAAATATTGCTGTTGCTCTAAAGTTATAAAACTTCTATTTTCGAAAATGCACCCCCCCCCGTTTCTGATTGTGCATATGCTTCTTTGCAGAGCCCCCGTCTGCTACGTTTGATGAGAACCTGAAGAAGGTTCGTCTACGCACATCTTCAGAGTACGTTTTGAACGTGACGACCCATGGATACCCAGTTCCAGAAGTCGTATGGGAGCAAAATGGGAAACCGCTAGAATCCACTAAGCATACACTCGTCCAAACAAGAGATAATACTACGTCGATAATCATTAGGAGTGTGGAAAATAGTGACACAGCGATTTACACACTCAAACTTTCCAATGACGCTGGAACCCAGTCGTACGATTTTAGGCTCAGAGTGTTAGGTAAGATAAAGACAAAGAAAAGTTAAAATCAAATTATTTTAATTAGGATGTTAGTCGATCTCTTCGATTGAAATGACGTAATCTGTGGGATATTAGATAGAACATATGATATGAGAGTGAGTGTAATCGTTGCTTGGCTGGTTTGAGTTAAGTCAAGAATTATATGAACGTAATATCAGAGACAAATATTACGAATTTAGGAAACAAAATCACGTGAACGTCGTAGACCACGGAAGCTGTACATTAGATAATTCATGTTAAAAGTTCTTAATGTAATATATTATAGTAAAATAATTTATAATAAAATATATTAAAAAGTTTTAAGACAAACCATATTGAACATGTCCAGTATTTTTTCGGAAGCATAAACTTTAGAGCCATCTAGTGCCAGAATAATGAACTAATATGTTATTTAGCCACAGCAAGTGTCTCGTTGCATAAGTGATTATGAGTTCGACTGAATTATGAAGACGAGACTACACAGGTAACCATTCAGAGGAAATTTTCGATTAAATATCAATATACGATTACAAAAAGTAAGATTCTGCAAGGTATTTATATATTTCCTAAATTTTAAAAAATTAGTTTAATCTTGTATTTTCAGATTGTGTTAAACGTTGTAACTTTTGTCGATTCCTGGTATTGTCGAAAGGCCTCGTCGGCACTGGATGTGACATATATAGTGTAATTGACATATTATTATGTATTCTTCTTTGATTTCACTCATATGTTCTCAGATTACTTAATAATTAGCTAGGATGTTTATAGAAACGTGTATGGTTAGAAAAAAGTAGAAACTTGCTAATTATAGACCCATATAGTCATCTGTTACAATTCTTCTGACACTCCAGAGCGATTTTTACTGGCTACTTTTGTTCTTTTATAACCATTTATCTCCCTTTGGACAGATAAACCTGGACCTCCGCAAGGCCCAATCACATTCCCCAAAACTGACAAAGATCAAATTACCGTGACTTGGAAACACCCCTCTGATGATGGTGGCTCTGATATTACGAACTATTTCATTGAACGATGCGATGCTAGAAGAAAAGTATGGTTGGAGGTGTGTACTGTATTTGTAATATCTAAAAAATTATAGTGAAATATAATGAGCATTAAGTAATTCTTAGTATTAAGAAATTTTACATCCTTGTGACCGTGTATCGGTTTTAACGAGTAGTGATCATGTATCGATATCATTAAATTGAAAAAGACAGAAAATACCTTTGCTCTAAAGGTTTTAGGTTTTAGTTTCCTTTTAGGATTATTCTTTTACATGAAAAATAGTAACTGATTTGACTCAAATTCTTCAAGTGCACTGTTTGTTATTGTCAGATGGTATCACAGTTGTTTGTTTACCCCAAGCATAATGAAATAAATGTAATAGGAATTATTCCATGCCGACTGCTCAAACTGTCATGTTAACGGTTACTATTTTACACTTCACGTTTTTTTTAAAAATAAAATCCAAAGTCTTACTTCCAAACACCAATTACACTTCATACATTTAGGAAAAAAAACTTATTTATGCCACAAAATTTAGTTATTTATACTATTTAAAACTATACTTTTGTTTCTCCTTTACAGGCTCAAAATTTGGTGGAAATTAAATTAAACCGTTATAATCTGGATTTTCACTACACTTGTAACCATCTTTTGACACCACTTATACACAGTAATAATGCATGAACACAAATAAATTAAACCATTGTATCTTTGAATTCCACTACACTTTCAGTAATATTCTGTTATCACTTCTACACAGTTATAACACTCGGAAATAATAATTTATAGGTTCATTACACACTTATAGTTGTTATCTGTTAATTCCACTAAAATTATTTCTATAAAGCTATTAGATTTGGAGAAATATTAACTTGAACTGTGATAATCTCTAATTTCCACCATGATAGGTGACAAGTGTTCCACCTGACACCACGTCCTACACAGTCACGGACTTAGAGGAAGGTAGCGAATATATGTTCCGAGTATCAGCATCTAACGAGTACGGACGTGGAGGACCGTTACAATCCGAACCAGTCACAGCGAAGAGTCCATTTGGTAAGTTGGATTTCTCGTTGTCAACAAATAAATCCATACACACAAGAGTCTAATAGATAACATTCGAGCATCTAAAATAAAGATTATGCACGGCTAGTTTTTAATTGATTAATTCTGTAAGGCTATAGACTGTACTGAATTTGACGTTTGTATGGACTGCATATGCTTGTAGTGTAGAAACGAACAACATCTTAGTCTCTGTTCGCTCCTACACTTCAGGCATTTGCAGTCCATAAACACCTCAAATCCAGTGCAATCTAATGTCCTTGAAAGTCCTCTAAAACACAAATTACCAATTACTTAATCTCATTTGTATGCTTCTATTTTTATATAGTAGATAGATATTTTTAAAGTTAAGGAGACAGTGGTGTATATCAGTGTGATGTTCTTCCAAAAGCAATTGATTGTTTATTGTTTGAATAAATCCTTGAAACGTATTTATTGTCCAAAATTAAAATATTGAATGGTATTATAAGAACGATATTGAAATTAAAGTAATTGATCTACAGCTTTGGAATTATACTCAAACACTTTTCTTTCCTTATCTCCCAAAGACAAACCATCAGCTCCTAAGGGACCGCTCCAGACTTCCAATATGACCAACACCTCCTTCACACTCTCGTGGCAGGCTCCAGAGAGTGATGGCGGTTCCCCAATTATAGAATACGTTGTGGAAAAACGAGAATTTGGCCGGAAGGCTTGGCAGAAAGTTGGCACTACGGATGGTAGATCTATGACCATGGAAATCACGAACTTGAAAAGAGAAACTGCCTACAACTTTCGTATCGTCTGTCGTAATGAAGTGGGCACCAGTCCACCATTGGCACCAGAAGAACCTATTACTCCTGGGGCCCAAATAGGTAAATGCAGAGTAATAATTGTGTCTTTTAGAGCGAATATTCCCTGTTATATACATTACAAATCATCCATAACAGCTAAAAAGGGGATTATTATGTGCCTTTCGATTACTGTTTTTATAGTATTAATTTGCAAACAAAACTTTATTGCTGATTTTCATATATAGATAGTATTGTAGAATCAATCATCCTGGTGTTATTAAGTTCTCATATTTAACTTCTGTTTTGTATTTAGTTCCACCCTCAGCGCCCTCTGGACCCCTATCTATTATTAGCATGACCAACAAGACGCTAACGTTGTCATGGAAACCACCAGTTTCCAAAGGAGGGGCAGAGCTGTTGTCGTACATCATTGAAAAAAGAGAAACCCACGTGGAAAAATGGGTTAGGGTAGAGACCTTAGAACCAACCACGACGTGCCACACAGTCCAGAATTTGTCGGACAAATGCGAGTACTTCTTCAGGGTGTTAGCTGAAAACTCAGCAGGTCTTAGCCCACCGTTGGAAATGGAAGAACCCGTGCGTCTCGCAACGACAGCAGGTGGGTTGTGTTTCTGTCTTACAAATAACAGTTTACCGGTTGTTGTAAACAGCCTGTGGGTAAGGCTACTACTCTTTCTGTATTACAAAAAACTTTTTATTGGTTGTTGTAAACAGCTACTGGGTAAGGCTGGTACTCTTTCTGTTTTACAAATAACTTTTTACTGGTTGTTGTAAATAGCTAGTAGGTATGGCTAGTACTCTTTCTGTCTCACAAAAACTTTTTACTGGTTGTAAACAGCTAATGGGTGAGGCTACTACCTTTTTCTGTCTCACAAAGAACTTTTTACTGGTTGTTGTAAACAGCTAATGGGTGAGGCTACTACCTTTTTCTGTCTCACAAAGAACTTTTTTACTGGTTGTTGTAAACAGCTAGTAGGTAAGGCTGGTACTCTTTCTGTTTTACAAATAACTTTTTACTGCTTGTTGTAAACTCTTTCTCTTTTACAAAGAACTTTTAACTGGTTATTATGAACAGCTAATGGTAAGTAGGTAAGGCTACTTACTCTTTCTGTCTCACAAAGAACTTTTTACTGCTTGTTGTAAACTCTTTCTGTCTCACAAAGAACTTTTTACTGCTTGTTGTAAACTCTTTCTCTTTTACAAAGAACTTTTAACTGGTTATTATGAACAGCTAATGGTAAGGAGGTAAGGCTACTTACTCTTTCTGTCCCACAAAGAACTTTTTACTGGTTGTTGTAAACAGCTAATGGGTGAGGCTATTACTCTTTCTGTCTCACAAAGAAATTTTTACTAGTTGTTATGAAATGAAAGCTAGTGGATAAAACTATTACTTTTGTAAGAATCGCAGATACATCATAATCAAACAGCGAATATTTATGAGAAAGAGCTTAAATGACTGAGGTTTTCTGACAAGGAGCTAATCAAATATTTCTATTGCACAATACTTTTGATTTGTGTGTTATCTACATATAGTAAGTTATTACGATATTCAATTGAGAAAGACCAATTAAATGAATAATTTGATAACGGATTCTTTGTATTATTTATTTATATTTAAATGTCGTTCGTATGAAACTTTACTCTTCAGAACGACCTACACCACCAACTGCACCTCTGGAGATGAGAGCTACTGGTCCCAGTTCAATTATGATCGAATGGGGCAAACCGGAATCCGATGGTGGTGCCCCCTTGTTAGGGTATAACATTGTCATTCGAGATATCAAGAGAAAAATGTGGATGGAGGTAATAATTTATTCTCTCTTGTGAAATTTTCGTTTAGTTTCAGTCGTGAACTATATATATTATTTTGCGAAATCAAATATATATGTAAAGAAACGGTTATTGTTAATATATATCTCTTATCAGTAAATTACATGTTTAACCTATAAATTGTTTTAATTATGCAAAAGCGGCCCGGCATGGCCAGGTGGTTAGGGCGCTCGACTCGCAATCTGAGTACCGCGGGGTCAAATCCCCGTCCCACCAAATATGCTCGCCCTTTCAGTCGTGGGGGTGTTATGTGACGGTCAACCCCACTATTCGTTGATAAAAGAGTAGCCCAAGAGTTGACGGTGGGTGGTGATGACTAGCTGCCTTCCCTACTCAGGAACTGTCCCTATCTACTATCTAGCGAAACCACAGCCAAGGGAAGGGGATTGGAAAAATCAAGCTTCCTTGACCAACAAGGACAATAACAGTGTTATTTAGCTTACACTGCTAAATTAGGGACGGCTAGTGTAGATACCCTCGTGTAGCTTTGCGCGAAATTCAAAAAACAAACAAACAATTATGCAAAGGATAAAAGCTAAATTGCTAAGTTTTAATTTCAGATATTGCTGTTTAACGAAAATTAATAGAACATTTCATAAACTTAATTGGTTACAAGGTGTTCTTTCGAGGAGTGTACTTTTTTTCATTACCTATCCTGTTGAAAAAGTATTTGCATTTACTGTCAACGGTAAAATGTATTCTGGTGAAAACATTGTCAGGCCATTAAAATGTTTGAAATGTACTCAGATGAACTTAATGAGGATTAACAAACGTTAACCTTACTAAAAACAAATGTTGTAATCGCACTAACCGAATGAGGATGGTCAGATCTTGACATTACAGTTTTTTCTCAGTACTAAATATTTTCTTGAATTGTATACTGGAAGAATACAAAGATAAAAACAATTTGCTAAGTACTTATAGAAGCACTGAATAATATAATAATGTCTTTTTTTCATTTTCCTTATTTAAACTAAGTTTTCATTCTCATAGCTACAGCTCCTGAAATGGCATGAAATCGCTTTGATGCCAACTGCAAATTAAAAAACAAAAACAAGAAATGGCTACCTTTTATAATTTGTTCTGACGATTGCATCTGACCTGTGGCATTTGTATAACAGACGAATATGAAACAATACTAACACAGGAATAGAAATATTCCCCAAACTAGGATTTTTCTACACATGAAAATATGGACGCGAAGCGTAAGCCTAATGTTATTTAAATTTTCACCTGAGGCTATAATTCTAATATTTTACAGCTTTTCTTGTATATTTATGTACTTGAAAGGAAACATTGCAAAACACGAGAGCAGGGCAAAGTTTGACCAAACAGCATTCACGTGTTCAAATAATCAAATGTAAAAAGCTAGTTTGACTTGGTGACGCGTTAGGCCTACTACTTTCTTGGTTGATTGACTACTTACGTTTTGATTTTTCCAGGTGGGCCAGGTAGATGCAGAAACACAAAGGCTTCAAATTCGGGACCTTCAGGAAGGCCACGAGTATTTGGTGCGGATTATGGCGCGTAATGAAATAGGAATGAGTGACGCATTAGAATCCGAAGAACCTATTAAAGTTGTCTGCCCTCCTGGTTAGTAACCAATTAAGACAGAATCTAAGAAAACTGTTAAAGCATTCTCTCTCCTGGATAGTATATACATTTAAGTCTGGAGAACGTTGGATACCCCTCCTCTTAAGCGTTTAATTGCGAGATGAAAAAATTAATCAGATTTAAATAGAAAAGTTAGTCATTAGTCTTTGTGATGTTCTTTCAGAGAGAAAATGAATTCCCTAAACAAACCAATATAGTAGCTGTTTCTTATTTCTCTGTTTTATATTTTCTAAATCAAAATTTTGCCCTTAGAATGAGAAATACTGATTAATTAGATTCACATTTACAGGATTTTACTTGTAGCTGCTATAACAGATATTTAATTATGTTTGAAAATAAAATAGGAACCAAATCCTATTCAGATTAATTTTATTTACCTTGATATGATTCGACAGCAACTGATAATAATGCTTATTTATCCTGCAGGCTTCCTGGAGGTTCCTCCATTGGAAATGGAAGAACACACTGCTTCGTTAAGCTTTAGCACAGAAACCTCATCGTCATGGATACGAGAAGCCAATGTGGAACCGTTGTTGCGCAGTTACACGAAACACGATTTGATAGGACGAAATGAGTACTTCTTTAGAATTTGGCACTACGCGAAGAGTTTATTTAAGTGAAATTAACGTAAGCATCTAATATAAGAGAGAGAGAGATTGTTTATGTTTGCGGTAGAAGAAGTTACTGAACCTAAAATGTGATATAATATTGAAATTCATGATCAATTTTATCAACGTGTAAATTATTTACAGTAAACTTTTATAGGGAAAAAAAAACAGTTAGCACACGAAGAGCTAACTTTAAAATTTATCATGAATTTTAATTGCACTTGAAAAATCTTAATCAAGTGATTCTGTATCTCCTGGATTGTATAATACTTGTAAAGGAACCTTTATGTAAGTATGAAAAACAGGGAAGGAGGTCGGACCAGTTCTGACCACTCCCAAATGTTGAATGACATATTCTCATTATTTTGACTCATGGACTTGGACAGACCCTCATTTCTTTTATTTTATTGTGTGTCGCTTGGTAGGCTTTGTGGTTATTTGTTGTGTTTTTGGCTACCCTCAGGCACAAGCGAATATAGAAACGAATTTCGTCCGTGCTAATCGGCCTTTATATGCCTTTGTGTAGCCAAAAGCTCTCCAGAAGATTTTTATTTTGATGTGAATTTTTGCCGTTTTCTTGTTTTATTACTTGTTTAACAAATTAACTTTTTGCTCAGCTGTAGAGCAAGATGTAACTGACAGATTTGTACCATGTTGTGTAAACTCGTATAATTCAAATAAAGTTTAGATTAACAGTAAAATGATTTGTTCATTACGTGAGATTAGTGCTAATAAATTTCTGTTAAAATACTTTCATAGACGAGCTGACAACTCGAACTGTAGTTTCGAATGGTTTTCATGCTATTTCTCTGCTAACTTTGTAACACACACACACCCACATTGAGATGAAAGGAAGTGACGCAATAGTACGGTCAGTTGACGTAATGCGTTACAGTCCTGTTATTTGTTGTTAGTACGAGTAATAGAAATTTTAATGATTTAAAATTCAACTATTGAGATGACTTATATTTAAGTTGATTATGAAAAACTTTTGATCAAATATAAGTTAAGTATATATATGAAGAATAAAATAATCTTTAAATAATGGAAACAATTCTTTATAACAAACCGATTAGAAATACTTAACTAAAACGTATCCATTGAATCATCTGTTGGATATCCTCGCCCTTAACAGTATTTTCGGCCATAAACCCAAAAATATCTCATAAAGTTTTCGGCCAGTTTAAGATGTGTACGTTAGTTCTCAATCCTTAAACTAAAAAAAAAACGCCATTATCACACTGGATACTCTGCTTTGTTAGATATGTTAAAAAATATCTAAATATGCAAAGCTTCAGAATTTAATTTTTCCCCACGAAGTCAAATTTGTGATTAAAACAATTACTTCATTGTTACGAGACTACATAATTATTTCTACAAGTCATGATAAAACAGATTTTGCCCAAGTATAAACGAAGCGAGAATTTTCTTTCTGTGGTTCTAAAGTTATTGTTATAATAAGAAAATAATATAATTTTTAGTATTTTTATATTTTTTCACTCATTGTTGTGTCTGCTTTTAAAAAAATGTTGTTTTCTATTTATTCAACACCAGTATCAGTACCATACTGAGAACAAACTGTTTTAATTTCTTCAACTTATTGCAAAGCGATTGAATGAGAACATACTTTATTTTGATTTTTTTTCTTTCTTCGACCTATTGTCGATGTCTTAGTAAGAACAGATTATTTTCTAATTTCTCCACCTAACGGCACCTACTGAATGAGAGCACATCAAATGCAAGTTACTTCCATACGTTCGACGTATTCATATGTATTCAGATTGTGATTTTAGAGTTATTTGAGGTGTACAGACTGTAATCATTTAGCCGCGGCATAGCGGCTCATAGAACGGCTCTGAGTCTATTTTTTTCAAGTACGAACTTTTAGCTCATAGCTCCATCTCTCGACCGATGCGAGATATAATTACAACCGCGGCTATTGAGGATTCCCTTTTGCTTGTTTTTTTATATATTTTATCATTTTGAAATGATTGTTTTTAATTGTTATGTGGTTAAAAGCTTATTGAGTTGGTCACTGTGATTTTAGGTGTTTTTACTTCTCGTCTGATAGACACCTTCATATTCTCTAGTTCCAGTTTCTTCAAAGTGAAGAGTTTTAAACTTGCTTCTGTAGTTTTCGTTTAGTCGAATTAGCCACAATATTATGGCGTTGTATGTTTTTTTTTCTGTTCTTACTTACAGTGCTAGTCGTCCAGTCTGTTTTTAGAGGTTAAATATTAACCGAACCACACCTAGCTCCTTGTGCTGTTTAGACTATTTTTAGAGGTTAAATATTAACTGAACCACACCTATCTCCTTGGCCTATGTAGCCTGTTTTAGATGTTAAATATTAACCGAACTACACCCTTTTCCTTGCGTTGTTTAGCCTGTTTTAGAGGTTAAATATTAACAAAACCAAATATTTTTCTAAAAGATTAATAATTAAAACACACCAAATACGATTCTGATTTAATAGTTTTATGTAAAGATAAAGATTTAGTGTTACAATACAAGATATATATGATACAAGAGAATTCATAAACGACATTGTACCGAAACTTGCGATAGTTAGGAATAATGACCGGTTAAATTAAATCTTTTCACATATCTCACAAACGACAGTGTTTATTTTTCTTCCTATAACGTTCGTGGAATGAAAATATAGATTCTCGTACCAGGTTTTACATATAAAATTATATCGCCTGATAACTCGTTATCCACGCTATAAAAATACATTCTTGAATAATATTTCTTTTGACTTATCCCAAATAGAGAAGGTATTTATACACTCTTACATTGAACTTTTAAATAAATAAGCAAAGCAAGTCAGAGTGTTCACGGAAACACTCAGTTATTATACACTTTCATTAAAGGCCTTATATTAAAACAGGAAAAAAAAAAGTAATGTTTCCTTAAAAATTATGCACAAAGCCAAAAAACCAAATATGAACTTACGATACCTTCTATATCTTTAACATCGAACGAATCACTGGCTTGGGCCATAAAACTAGAATCCTTACCGAAAACTATCAAAGATTTATTTTCTGACCTGCTTCATCTTATATAATTTACACTTTCGTTTATCTTGTTTTCCTTTTGGCACATGAAAAAAAAAACATACATCTTCTTCAAAGACAGAGAGAGAGAAAAAGGAAATATGTAGTTTCAACCATAACTTAGATAAAATACAAAATATCTTCCGTGCAAGCTGAATAGTTTAATGGCTTTAACAATATGGACTTAAACTGGCTTTATTTGGACTTTTTTTTTGTCCGTACTGGATTTTAAAAGTTATGTGAATACTGGCATTATGTGGTACTGTATTTATACATAAGGTCACATGGTACTGCACTGACGGATCTATTTAATGATTAACCAATTACTCTATACACACAGTCCATTTTGAAATATTCTTCCATGATACTGATCATCCAAAGAGGAATATACCCAACAGGTATTTTAAACACTGATATTTCCATAACGACATATAGCAGGTATCTGATATAAGCATCTACTTATCTTTTTTTTTCTTTCGTTAAGCCTTTTTTATTCACTTCGAAATACTCACTATGTTGATACCCCATTATAAAATCAATAATAAAACCAAAACAGCTAAAGTGGGATAAAAATTACCACAAAGTTACACAAGGTTGGTGTTGACGTTAACATCAACGAAACGACAAACCGTCTTTTAGTGGCTTGTTTTTAACCATTTTAGTTGTTTTGGTCTTATTAAACTGATCTTACATTTCACAAATGACACTGTCCTATAGAAAACAACTATGCTGACAGAGACTGGAGTGTACCTGTGATTAGATAAGGTAATTCACTCCAACTTACACAGCTATTCATTATCATCAGTACGAAAATATCACTGTGAAGAGACGTTTTATATAAGATTAGCATTGGGAGATTTGATAATAATATTAAACCCTTTATATAAATAAAACATGTACAATACAATGTTTATAAGAAACAAAGTTGGCAAATTCTATACTTCAATGTTGATACATTACATACATCATATCATCTTTTTAGGACGGTTAAAGATCCACGACACTTCTGTTCGCCCATGTTGTTTTTCACTACGCAAATGTACTCGCCACGATCAGTCTGACAGCAATTATCAATCTCTAAAGTATACACGCCGTTTGACAGGCGGTATTCTCTGTGCCTTGAGTCCGCATCAATGCGTTTGTCACCAACGAACCATGCGACACTGGGTTCCGGATTCCCATCCACTTGTACCTGAAGACGAATACGCCCACCTTCACGAACCTGTACTTCCTTTTTTAATTTCTTAATAAAATAAGGAGCTTCGAAAGAAGATGAATCTTTTCCGTCAGTTTTAGGCCTAACTTTTCGAAGTGTTTGGTCTAAAGTCTTTTTCATTCGTACCGAGGTTTTTTCACCATTCACAGATTTACTTCCACGTTGTGAGTCCGTGAAATCAGCATCTTTTGTGTAGTTGTCTCCACTGAAGTAAGCTTCCTCTTCCTCCTGTTCTCTTATGATCCAAGGAGCAACACTTTCCTTGATAGTTTTAGAAGGATAAAACACCGAAGATAAAGAACTTTCGCTGTCACTGAGACTTCCGTAGCTGCTCTGATAACCAGAGCTACTTCCCACGGATGATCGGGACGCGCTAACTCCACTCAGCGTTACCATGCGACCTAAGGCTCGAATTGCATTACCTGTTTTCTGAAAATTGAATTCATAAAAAGAAAATACATATGAGTAAAAGGAAGGATCCATATTATTAAAAAAAAAGTGAAAAAAATCTGAAACCTGAAGTTTATTTTGAATATATATATTATAACACCTATCAGCATTCGGAAGCGGTCTAGAATATACCTTACCACATAAATTAATATCCTAAAACGGTGTCCACTTAAATAATTAGATCAATAATGGAATTTGGTTTTGTATGAATACCATAAAAATGTCATTTTAAGTTTCTGCAGTCCAACAAATGATATTAGCGTTAATTAATCATATCAAACCCACCTGCCATTTTCGTCGGATTATGAACTTTTTCAGTTTATCTGTAGGCAGCTGTACAGTTTTCGTCTTTCGATCCTCCAGTTTGAGCCATTTGTGACATAAGCACTGTTCGGCAGTCAATCGCTTACTGTAAGTACATCAAAGAAACAATCATACGCTTAAATAACGTTTTTAATTAAAAAACAGTCTGTTACATCCATACAGAAACTAACCTGCCAAATATATTATGCACGGTATATTTGGTATTTTCAACTTGGATGGCACCTTTTGAGATACATGAGCTAAGTGATCATGCCGGAGATTCTTTCGGTTCAGGTATAATCGTACTTAACTTTGAACTGTTGACCAGATGAAAGTTCGCCAGTCAGAAGTTCCTCCACTACATATGCTTTTTTTGGCTTTAAATCGAATATAGTATTAATTGTCACTCTTATACCGCACCCATAGCAAGGTGTGTTGCATGTTTAGCGCCATTACTGGCACGTATCTTGAACATGCCAATTTGCAGCGCACTAGGCCACGCCTGTCCAAATATGTTATATACTAGCATATTAACATAATATAAAAAGTTGTTAAAGTCTGTGTTATTTCTTGTCAGTTTTCATCGATACTTTGTGTAATTTGAAAACGTCACTTCTTTCAACCATTTTCTCACATTTTTTCATGCTTCAATCTTTTTGTTTACATCATGTCCCAAACCTTTTTAACGGTGTTTAAACAAAGAAATTTTGTCTTTATATTTTTTCAAACTTTGTGCGAACTAAAGAATAAATAACCGAATTAAAAAAAAAACGAAACAAGAAATCTTGGTTACTCTATTACCTCTTTAACATTTATTATTTATAAATATTATTTATGATTTTAACCTCTTTAACACTCTGGTTTACTTCAAAGTACCGACTTTATTATAACTTGAACATGTAATATACTTTTTTTATCATCACTTTCTGGAGCGTTAAATAATTCATTAATTTTCTGTTATTTCCTTAGCAGCTTTTTAAAAGCAAATAACTCTAATTTAACAGCTTACACCGAATCGGCGTAAAGAATTTACGTACTTTGGCCGTTTGATCAACAATTGAGAAATGAATTCCTTGGCATCTTGGGTTATGGCATCGAACGCTTCGTCTTCAAAATCAAACTCTGCCTTGGTGATGTTCGTAAAAGTCTCAGCATCGTTCTCTCCCATGAATGGTGAAAGACCCGATAAGCTAGGGTTAAAACAGGGTGAAATGTTACAGTTGTGTTTTGTCGTTTAGCATTATTTCCTCTTATCGAAACACACCCAAGAAAAATCATGTAGCACTAGAATGATTCCATGAACTTGGGTGAAGTATCGTACGAACTAAAAGAAATATGAATTTTCAAAAACTTATGAACATAAATTAATTTTATGTACGAGGATGCCCTTTGAGAAGAACTTGATAAAATAAGGCCTGATTTTGTTCACACAAGTTATAAAGTCCATGGAAAATATAGGATTTATGATTTATTTAAAGTTTATCAAAAATAATGAAAGCGTTTCAAGTGTTGAGTACAGAAGAAGTCATAATAAACTTTAGATCTGTTTACTTATCTAACTCTGATTGCAAACGTTTATGTGCATTTTGTTTTTATTAATATACACTAATACACATCAAAACATATTACAATTACACTGTAGCGTTGTCGACTTATCGTATTGGCCCGATTATAAGGCGATGTTTTTGATCAATAATTAGGCTGTAAAATTCATAGTAGCCTTATAATCGCGGCCTCTACTCTAGTCTGTCCTATTCCTGAATGTCCAGATAGCGTCCGTCTACGCAGATGTTCGCTCAAGGTCATCCCTAATTCTTGTAACTAATCCACCTGCAGGCTGTTCAGTTATAGTATTGATTTTTCGGACCTAAAGAAAGGACGTTATGACTCTCAATTTTGTTTCCTTTCCCATGGTTTCTGAAAATGGGAATCACCTTATATTCGAGATGGCCCTATAATCGGGCAATGTGGTATTTTATATTAAAGTATATTACAATAAATGCTAATGACAGCAGAGCTCAAGTTTTAAACAAAGAATGAGAAATAAATCAGAAGTCGAGACATCGTAGCTATAAAAAATGCGTAAATGTTTTTATTTGATTATTTCTAATCGATTGGTATCACCACTTACTAAGGTTAACAAATACTATACAATGCTTCTTTTAGTTTGAGATTTTGGACTGCTTTTGTTTCACGGTTTTTTAATAAGCACAAAAGTTATGAACAAAACCTTACTTGTGTTCAATTAAAATGGGTGCCAATAATTTTTTTTTCTCTTCAATATCAAAAAATAAGTGAGAAGTTACAATTACTGGATCTAGAAAACAAAATCCCAATAAAACTAAATCGCACAACATACTTATACAATGAAATAGAATAAGAGAAAACAGAAAAACCCGATTTCTAGGTGATACTTACAGTACATAACATATTACTCCTACACTCCACATATCACTAAATGGACTAACAGGTTCGTAGCTTATGATTTCTGGAGCTACAAACTCTGGGGTTCCGAATAAAACTCGAAGGTCTCCACTAGGCGAATACTCCCTAGCCAGTCCAAAATCAATCAGTTTAATCTACATAAAGCAGAAATAGAAAAACACAATGGAAATCTTTAATTGTATGTTTTTCCATTTACACAATACTATATCTGAAGTGAAAATTTGGTGATAATGGTTGCAATAAATACTGATCAATCATTAACACCAGCGTGAGGTGTTTTTCTTATTCATTAACCTAAGAATAATTTTATCTCTGATAACGCGTGCAGATTAATAAATAGCCTATATGTCTACAGGTTCGTTAATCAGTCGCGTTTCAACCCTCATGTGTTTCTTTAACTGTACATTCCTATATACAGGTTTGGCCTAGATTAGAATGCTTCTAGCATGCAGCATATTGTTGAAACATTTAAGGAGCTAATTTTGTGAAAAATATTCGGGTTCAATTGCCAACAATTCTCTATTAACAAACTTAAAATATATTTGAATATTCTAACTTCATATTATAATTATTTCTGGAAATGTTAACTGGCCACAGACAGAAAACTGTAAGGTTATTTATATTTATAACACAACATCTCTAGAAATATAATCCGTCTTTTTTGTTGTAAATGCATAACAATAATGACAAACTCAATGTGAAGTCCAATGTATGATGATATCATTTTGTATAGGTCGAGATAACGAAAGAGACATAAAAAGTGTTAACTTTACCCACTTTCTATATTTCGATTAAGTGGTTTCATGAATTAAAAATGTTCAAAGCTAACTTAGAAGTTGGTAAATACATTCATGAATTAAGTACGTGTTCTAAGGTATGAGGTCTAAATTAAAATAAATCAACATCTCAACAGGTGGGTTTATATTTTCGTTGTTATTTTTAATTTCATTAATTTGGTCTAGAATCAGTAATGGTATAAGAAATCTAAGTTTAAAAATATTAAACTATAGCATATCATTTGGAAAATTCTTAAAAAAACACTGATATTTACAAAGCCAATAATGAAATTATAAACACAAAGAATAAAGTGTTGAACAACTAATTTAAATAATGAAAATGTGTGATAAGAAAGTACAACAAATACAATGAATAACATTATTGGAGTGATAGTTTTTATACACTAGTATAATGATATCTGAAATATAATACAAAATGTTTAGGTATTTCACCCTGTCCGCATTTCGATTCCTCCTACAATCACTCCAGATAACTACTGGATATAAGGAACACTATCAATTACTTGTATAACTTTCGCAAAAAGAAGTTAGAAACGATAAAAATTACACAGGCCTGCGATGGTTTTATAGTCTTGAAATGTTTGCATGTTCTACAGTAATTTCTGTACGCTGAATCCAAAAATAATATCCATTTTCCTCCATCACATACACATTTTTCACAAATGTCATAACGCAATACATAAAAGAAAGACCACGACACCTAGTTTCGAGACTAAAAAATGTGGATTACACAAAACAAATCAGGATGAATGAGGATACATATTCCTTGGACATCAGCTGTATTGTTTGTCTTTTTTCCATTCTCATCCCCTTGTACTAATTAAGGCGGAATTCAACACCGGATCCTATGTGTCATGTAGGCATGGGAGGGATTTTATCTTGATCATTATAAGAGCTATGGTTTGCTATTTTATTTAGATTCCAC